CTCAGTTGAGTCAAGCAGGCTTTCTGATGTTTGACAACTTTAATTCATATTTACAACTCAGATTTCTATTTCTAACAGGATTAATTTTGCTCTAAACTTAGAAAGGAAAGAATCCTATCATTGTGTTCAAAAACCAAACAAAAATTGGTACTGAGGTCACACTTGATAGAAGGTTGACATGTTTTTGAAATGCTTCTGCTTTCTTCAGAGTCACCAGCTATTTAAATATGTTAAAAAAAAAACTTACATCATATTTCTGCATCCTTGGTATTTTTCTTCACTGATGCAAAAAAAAATATGTTCCATATATTCGTTTATCATATGCATTTAAGACTATGGTGAGTCTGGACTGAAAGTGATCTAAGTTTAGATCGCACTTCCAGACAAGTAAATTTGGGCAAGGAACAAATTACTAAGACTCAGCTTTTACATCCATGGGATGGGGAAAAAAGACACACTTATCTCATTAAATGATTGAGAACCATATGAGACCTAGTTTGCAAGTGTCTGGCCTAGTGCCTGGCGCATAGCAAATGTTTTACAATGCCATGCGTTTCTGACATAGTTTTATTCATTATTAAATACTCGCTCATTAAAATGAATAAATTTAACTTAATTAATTTTTAAAATCAGGCAACCTGTTGGCTCCAGAGAACAACATAAAAAGTAGGTTAAGTCCTTTGTCTACCCTTCTTCCTCTACCATTTTTAAGTGATTGTTGAATTCTCCCATTTCAAAACAAGTGAAAGAGAGTTCTAGTAAATACATCCAGAGGCAGAAAAGGGCTACTTGGATGGCTTTCTGTTTCCCTAACTTGTTTTTCCCTCTGTATATCCATCCCGGGCACCACTCTGAGAAGTTTTTAATATGCAAATGGAGTCACTCCCTACTTTGTGGAAAGAGGATACTACAAGCCCTATAAGCCCTCTAGTGTGGATCCACTGCCCATAACTCCTCTTGTGCCTCTGTCTCTCACAAGCCATTGCCACTCATCTTTGCTCAAGAAACACGGATGGATCTGCTGGTCATCTCTCTGCTGCCCCTTACCACATTCACCTCAACTTTTCTGAATTGATTCCAGCTGCATTGCTCACCATCCGCTTCTTTTCAGTTGAGCTCTGGGACTGCTGCCTGAAGCAAGCTTTGTTGGGCACACCTGGATGCCTCCTCAGGTGCTTCCCCAGTAACTAACTTCTGTCCCAGTCTGCATTTGGTTAAAAATGGGAATTAGGTCTTTGGGACACAGGGATAATGCCTCCCTTATCTTTGTATGTCCAACACAGAAAGTCGCATGTTTTGAAACTCATGAACCTGTTTGGTACCTAAAGCAAAGGTGGACTACTTCTTCCTTGCACACCCAAGGTTGGTAAACATCGTCAAAAAATGCAAGTTAACTATTACTGAAACATAAAATGTACACACACTTCATACACATGACCTTATTTATTTCTAAATTATGAGTAGATACTGTTATGGCCCTCTCTATAATGAATCAATGGCAAACAAGTTTGTAGGAGATGCTACCTGATTTTAGGGGTTCTTAGAAGGCCAAGTGGGTTTCAACACAGACACCACTGTCTGATGAAAAGAAAAACTACTGAAAAGAAAAAGCAAAACTCCAGAGAGATCTTTGACTCCAGTAATTGAGAAATTACACTTTTCTAGGTTTAATCTCGACTGTGGTGTTTCCCCAGAGAGTTAGAACTCTGAAATCTCCAGTCAGACTTTATAAAGTCTGGCCATCAGGAAGAACTAACAGAAAATGTAGAAGAGTCTTTCCTGACCAAGTGCCCTCTGTAACTGATGACTGAGATCCTCAGACAGAACTTCTAATCTCTGGAAATTCTGCAGCTAAACAAAGCAAGTTCCTTGAAACAAACTCTGATCCAACTCAACTTGACCAGTGCACTTTGATTCTGATGGACAGCTGTCAATACTGGGATCTCGGTATGTATCACATCATCCCCCAACACATCCAGCTCTGCAGGGCAGCCCAACCAACTTAGTCAACAGCAACTTCATTCTTCTGGTTCTGGGTTGGAGGCATCAAGTCCCCATTCCCTTACCATCATCACCTCGTCCATGAGAAAATTCTATAGGCTCATGTATGTTTGCACAGTTCCTCATCACCCCCAACACAACCACCTTGGCCTGCCCCATAATTATTATTGCAACCAGTTCCAACTTACATCCTTGATTTTGCCTTTGATAGCCAAATCTGCTCTTAATGCAGTAGCCAGAGTAAGCCACTTAAAAACTATGTTAGATGTGTCAGTCTCTGCTGCAATCCTCAATGGCTCCCAGGGGTGTAGCACAGCCAGCATCCTTAAGTCCTTGGCAAGACTTTCAAGGGCTTCCTGATCTGGCTTTCCACCCCCATCCCAGGGGCCAGCTTCCTGACTTCATAGCATTGTCATGTCTTTACCCCGTGTCCCCTATTTCTTTCGCAAACACACCAGACATACTGCCATTTATGAGCCTTTAAACTTAGTTTTCCTTTGGTTCAGATATCCATAGGGCCAGCTCACTCACCTCTTCACAACAGACTTAAAAGTTACCTTGTAATTAAAGCCACCCTACCAAGCCACACATTGCTGACCACATTATCAAAAGTATTTATTTTAGTGATGTTTTTGCCAAGGCCAGAGGTTTCAGTTGATACTGTATCTCCAGGGTCTACATCAATGGAAGTACATAAAAGACACATGTTAAAAATTATGAAATAAATGAATCATTAGGGAAAGTTGCTATCATGTATTCACACTTCCTAGTTACCTGTGACAGATCTCCCCAAACACAACCCTATAAACACAAAAGTGGTTTTTCAATTCAACATCATTGTGTTCTTTTAATTAGCAAACTGGGTGGCTCTGAACTTGATACTGCCTGGAATGTTCTCTAGCACACATAATGGGATGAAGGCACAGAGTCTCAAGGCTACAAAGTTCCTGGTATCATCAATACCATCAGTCTATTGCCTATCCCTCTCCTGAGCAACATATGATCTTATATAAACTAAGTACAGTGTTATAGAATATTTGTCAACTCAAAAACAACCAGCAGCAAATTGCATGAAGAAAAAACTTTAGATAAATATTTAAAAATTATGCATGTTAAAGAAATGCAAACATTTAAACTGCCCATTGTAGCTCTAAAATTAAGACTCTTCAATGGCATATTGGATTTCTTTTTTTCTCACCAGGTAGCAAAAATGAGATATGGCCAGAAAATTTGAGGAACAGATGGAAATGTGGAGAGAAGTGAAGGCACACGGGAATGTGCTGGTCAACTAGAATTCTCTTTCTGGCCAAGAACACTTCCTTACCCATAACCAACCTACTGCACACATATGCATGTGCAAAGACATACACGTGGATACTCACAGATATACACAGATACACACATACATGTGCATACACACAGCAAACAAAACACCCATTGCAGACAATAAAGTTCAAGCTATTTTCAAAATGCATATATTTTAAAACTCTCTTTCAAGTCAATGATATAAGGAGCTATGCTACTCCATTCCCACTCCCTCATCCTCTCCTCCACACTCAATGTAATCAGCCATGTGGCCACACTCCCTATTTTCATGGAAATGATATAGTGGAATATGCAAATATCCACCACACAAAACCAGTGGGAGGAAGAGATGAAAGCTAAGATTCCTATTTCTTTCACCTGGTAAATGCAGGAAATGAAATGGTCTTTATAAGTCTCTGGGACTCCCTGAGCCTCTTTCCTCCCCTCTCAGTAGCTGGGAGGGTGTCATAAACTTTCATCTCTTACAGCTGTCCCACCTTCCCCCTCCTTGACAATATCTAGAAAAATATTTTATAAACTTACATAAACCAAGTTTTGGTACCTCTTTTCTAGATGCCTCTTCCAACCAGTTTGGAATCTCTACAACTGTTGAAATATTGTTTCTAGCACTAGATTGGCATTAATGATTATCTTTCACCAAAACTCTATTTTATGGGACAGGCTGTGAGTGAGAGAGATTATTTTCAGTTCAGTAAACATACCTAGCATAATTTTGGGGCAGCAAATACCAGCCGGCATCCTGTTAAGCCAGGCCAGTCCACACTGGCAATTACTGTGCTGAATTAAAGAAGGCTTTGGCCACCTGCCTGGTGCCTGCAACAAGTTCCTTTTTTATCCTATTTATCTTCCCAGTCATCTATTTGTGTCAAGAAAGGAAACATATGAGCACAGCATCTGTTACTAGAGTGACACAATTACCAAATACTTCTATAAGGGAAAAAATCAGCAATAAATCCAGGTTACTTGTCAGGTGTTTTAGGAGAGAAGCATTAGTCTTTCAATCACAGTGCCTGTTCAGGCTGAGCATATGGTGCTAACAGCAGAGATGCACACGCTCAGCCTAGTCTCTGATGGGCATAACCACCACAGAAATGTCACCTCTGAATTGGCAGAAAAGAGCAGTTTTCTTTTCCCCCAGCGCCCCCTCCCCTTTCCTAGAAAAGGCAGGTAGGGATTGGAAGGTACTTTGCTGTTGGTTACTTTACTCTAACACTGAAACCTACTTAAGTTGAACGTTTGCTCTGGGAAAATCCCTTACTTTCTTCAACAAGTAGACATAGACAACTGGGGACATTTCTATTAATATTGTGATTGTTCCTTGCTTTGCTTTTTTCCTAGATAAAATCAACAGGTCTATGTGACTTCGTTGCTAAAATTGTCTTGTTTTCATACTTTAGTCTTCAAACCAGGGAGAGGAAACAGAAAAGTGAGAGACAGATGCTAGAGACTGAGAGACCACATTCCTTCCAAAGTGAGAAGTGACTGATAGGTACACTGTAAGAAGACACCAAGGGACTCATTCTAGGATGGTCAATATCCAGCAAAGAGTGAAAACTGGCCCCGACACACGCCCACCTTGACTTTCACTCAAGCCGGGTGGCTTGCGTCAAGCCTGCGAGTTCCCCCACCACTGCGCTCAGGTGAGCCGCGCCAGGTAACCGTGCGCCCTTTACCTGCCAGGCTGCCCGGCCTCTGGAGGGTGGCGGTGGCATACAGCTCCTGCGAGTGCTTGCTGTACTGCTCGGACGCGTGAACCAGGCGCTGGGTGGGCGACAGGGTGGCGTAGGTGCCGATGGTGGAGCTCAGCTGGTGGATGGGCGAGGAGGAGATGGTGGACTGCACGGTGGGGGGCGAGGTCACGCGGATCGGGGACAGGCCGGCCGAGGACACGACGATGTTGATGGGCGAGCTGGTGCTGTAGGACTTGGCCAGGCGGCTGGGCGACTGCTTGGGCGAGGAGCC